TTAATGAAAATTGTCAGTTTATTCCAAACAATCTCAGTCCATGGCCGAGAGCCTCGCCAACGAAACTCATAATGTTTGAGGTTGCCTTCTTTTCGAGTTTCTCAAAGGAGAATCCGCTGCCACTGCTCACCGATCTTTATGCTCCGTAATTAGTGACAAGTTACTTAAGTATCTTGTAGTGCGGCCTTGGTTCAATCGCTTTCGGAACGGCGAATATTCCCTCAAAGAGAAACTTCAATTTAATCACAAGTTTCCAAGCATCGACGCAGATCTCTAGAAAGCGCTGGAAGCTGAGCCGAGATTCACTGTTCCTGAAGTTTCTTCTACTCTCGGTCAACCTACTACAATTGCATTTCATCATCTTTGGACCATTTCAGTAATTCCCACATCAAAACTAGATGTGCCTTGAGTTGGACTTTGCTCACTCGTAAGCGGAACATCGATGGGATCCATTATCATGTAATAGGAAACGATAAAAAGTGCCTGTATGTTAAAGAAAACAGAAAGCGTCAGTGGATCAAGATTTGCCAAACCTCAGAAATTATCCACAAGAAGAATNTTGTGAAANAAGGNAGACGTAAAGCATTTGGTTGGATTTCGATGGTGTGATCAATGGAAAATTTCTTCCCATCGTGCGAGCGTAACAACGAACATATACTGTCTCTAACTACAAAAAGTATTTGATGCGTATGGTGCTCTGCGCCCAGAAACGGGAACATTTGTTCCGCTTCACAATATTGCGCGTCCACACGCGGCTTTGGCCACTCGCCGAAATTTTTTTTTATTACGCTTGCTTCAGAATGGTTATCAGGGTAAACTCTCCGAAAGAAAATCGGACCTAAAATCGTATATGGGTGCCTTCTTCGTGCAACAACTAACCGAGTTCTACGCGAGAGGCATCAAACAGTTACCGGAACGTTGGCAGGATGTTATGGACCATAATAAACAATATATTACTTGCCGGAATATTTCGAACGTTGAATAAAGTTTTGTTGAAAAAATTCCAAAAAATGTAAAAGATTTACGGAACAACCTAATATTACAGGTTATATACAGTGCGTTCAATATCTTTAGGCCCCCCCCCCTCTATTTTCACGGTTCTGAGAAAACGGTAAGAGATATCAAAAATCTGTAAGCGCCATTCGTTTTTAAATTCAAAAATACCCTGGGAGCCAAATTTTGGTATTCATACCTCTTCCGGTATTAGTACATGGCCCAAAACTCACTTTTTCAGCCGTTCAATATCTTTAGGACCACCTGAGATTTTTGACGGAAATTCACTTTTTGTGTCAGAATTCCAATTCAAAAGTAAGTCAATGTCCAAAATTTTCATATGTGCTCTTGGTTTTCGTATTACCAAGATGTTTCTGAACTTCTCCGAGAATTTTTACATTTTTCTGCTGCTCGTGACCTAATTTTCAACTCGATGAGCGAAATTGACCTAAATCATCATTCAAAAGCTGGAATCAACTACAAAAAAATCAGGTAAACAAAAGAAATCAATTGGTTTTCTCATTTGGTATGCTGGAAACTAGATCGTTCGGCTCGGCTTCAGTTAATGTTCTTCTTCCTTTTTGGAGGGAATTTTGGGATCCCTGATGCGGTAGAACAGCCTGACGCTGTGGTAAACGCGACAGGCATCATGGTCCGAAGCTGTATCAATAGAATTCAGATCAGAATCCATGCCTGCCATGGCTATTTCTTGATTCTTCCTGGTGTCATTCATCCCAGTGTTGAGTTTCTGTTATAAGTCGCACCGTTGTCTGGAGGTGTATGGCTGCGGATAAGCTAAACTGCGAATTCACAAAGTCTCGGTGGATAAAAAGATGTCTCCAAAGTCGTGATAAACTGCAGGACCATCTATGATATCCCAGAGACCAAACAGAGCCATCGACAAGACGCGCACTAGTTCTGTTCAGCAGTTGTATGATTCAACTCTGTTGGTATGTTGCAACAGCCGGAAGAATCAAGAAATAGCCATGGCAGGCATGGATTCTGATCTGAATTCTATTGATACAGCTTTCGATCTAGTTTCCAGCATACCAAATGAGTTGACCAAAGTGATTCTAAATACTATCCATGAGAAAACCAATTGATTTCTTTTGTTTACCTGATTTTTTTGTAGTTGATTCCAGCTTTTGAATGATATTTAGGTCAATTTCGCTCATCGAGTTGAAAATTTGGTCAAGAGCAGCAGAAAAATGTAAAAATTCTCGGAGAAGTTCAGAAACATCTTGGTAATACGAAAACCAAGATCACATATGAAAATTTTGGACATTGACTTACTTTTGGATTGGAATTCTGACACAAAAAGTGAATTTCCGTCAAAAATCTCAGGTGGTCCTAAAGATATTGAACGGCTGAAAAAGTGAGTTTTGGGCCATGTACTAATACCGGAAGAGGTATGAATACCAAAATTTGGCTCCCAGGGTATTTTTGAATTTAAAAACGAATGGCGCTTACAGATTTTTGATATCTCTTACCGTTTTCTCAGAACCGTGAAAATAGAGGGGGGGGGGGGGTCCTAAAGATATTGAACGCACTGTAGTAACTAAACTAGATTCCAGAAACTGAAAAACTGTGCAGTCGTAGTGTATCTTCACGGTGGAGATCTTCTTTTCGATTCAGCAGTAATGTTCAACGATTCATCGATTTCGGAAACATTTCCCAAGAACGGTCTGTCTTTTTAAAAAATCTCTTCCATAAAGTTCGAAATTGCAGATGTAATCCTTGTGATTCCTGGATTCAGGCTCGGAATATTTTCTCATTTCGCTGTAGAAGATCAAAGCATCGCACCCAACAATATTGGTCTATTTGATATTCTGAAATCTCTTGAATTTACAAAATCTGAAATTCACAATTTTGGAGGAAGCAACAGGAAAGTTACACTTCTCGGGCACTCTTATGGTGGAACGATAGTGACGATGCTGACTTTCAGCACAGAAGTGAACCGAGATTTGAGGTAAATTTTTTTGAACTTTTTGAAAAGTTTCTGAAAAGTTTCAGTTTGTTCCAAAAAGCCATTAGCATGTCTTCACATCAGTACTTTGAAACACTGCAGTTTCATATTCAGAAAACACAAAAGTTTTCTGACCTAGCAGGATGTTTACCATCTTCTACTGCAGAAATGACTCAAAATCAAAAGGATAGATACACGATGATCTGCCTTCAAAATAAAAGTGCCATTGAACTTTTGAGGTTAGTTTCCAATAAAACAAGGAATCACTGAACACATTTAGAGTTCAAGATCTCTGGAAGAGACAGGATACCCAACACTAGGATCTGTAATTATGCGAGATCCACTGTTTCCTGATGTAAAGCCAGCTGCATTCATGGATTCACCGAAAATGATACCAATGCTAACAGGTTGCAGTCGGGTTGAGTTCGATCATGAACCAGAGCTTCTTCCACTATCCTCAGTATTCCATTTGGAAAATCCGTTGGAATGCGATGAAAAGTATCGAAAAGATCTTGCTGATGGATCATTTCGTCAGTTAATCACAAAGTAAAAATTAATAAGAAATAAGTTGCAGAAGGGAATCATACTGACAAAACACAAGCGATTCTAGTTCCAACAAAAATGAGAGTAAATAAACTATTAGAGAAAGGAATTCCGGTAAGTTCCTTGCTGAAATTTCAAGGGTTGATAACAATTTTACAGACTTATCTCTATGAGTACATGTATCGAAAACATGCAAAACATTCTGATGATCTGTACTATTTGATGGGTGTTCATCCATTTGAAGAAGACGAGAATGAAGTGCATTTGAAACAGATTTATCAAGAGATGATTACGAATTTTGCAAAGTTTGGAAATCCTGGAAACAATTTTGAAAAGGCTGATTTCACGAAGAACAGTTATTATGATTTGAATTGGAATGAGACAAGTGGTCAACGACCCAAAATGAGCACTGATTTTGAAAAGAAAGTTGAGTTTTCACTATTTTTCTTGTCAGTACGAATTTCTTCAGACTGTGGATTATTGGTTGTCCGAAATGGTAGAATACGATCGAAGTGTAACAGAAGAAAAGAAGAAGATATCACCTAAAACCAGAAGTTTCAATTTGAGTTCAAATAATGTTAATCTAGATCAAAAGTCTCATTTTGTATTGGTTTTGTTTTTATTATCTGTTATTTTTATGGCCGGTTATTTGATCGGGCACTACTGTTCTCAAAGACAACAAGACATGTATATCCAATTAGATGGAAATAACTTTGACTATCACAAATAAATTTTCCAAGTTTTATGTTGTCAAATAAAACTTCCTGGTTGTGTACTAATGTTTTATCAGCAAGAAAAGGCAACAGTTTATGAAGAATTATGTTACTCTTGTCTTGAGAATCTTTGTTACCTGTTTCTGTTATCAACTCGTTGCGTCAATTACCATCACTGATCACGATTTGTTTGTCTGCAAATTTGCATAATCGATATTTTCTGCTGAAGGCAGGAAAAAGTTCAATAATGAATGCCAAATCTGCTTTTATATTTTTAACTGTTTTGCAATATACTGTTTCTATAATTATACCCACTTCATTAGGAAAATTGAGTGGAAAGGAGATAGGGGATTACCACATTTTCAAACGCATTCCATTTGCGAAACCGCCTATTGGGGAATTAAGATTCCAGAAACCAGAAAGTGCCAAAAATTGGAATGGGATAAGAGATGCAACTGGTGAGTTAAAATTTTTTTTAAATTTAAGTTTTTCAAATTTAGAATACGGTCCGGCTTGTATGTCGAACTCCACAGAAACGAGTAGTATACAAAAATGGGTAGATGAAGATTGTCTCCACATTAACATCTTCACTTCTAATAAGTGCCTAGTAAGTTTTAAAATAACTATTCAACGATGATTCAGAAATTCTAGAAAACAAAAAACTGCGCAGTTGTTGCTTACATCCATGGTGGTGTGCTCATTTATGACTCGGCTGTCATGTTCAATGATACTTATCTGATTGATTCTTTTCTGAAAAATGGTAAACTCCCAGTTTTCATCACCATACGTATTATGGCTTCCAGGTGTGATCCTTGCAATCCCAGCATTTCGACTCGGAATATTTTCTCACTTCACAGTTCAGGATCAGAGTATTGCACCATCTAACGTCGCTATATATGGTAAGAGAATATCCTGTAATGCGAACAAAAGACAATTCAATTCAGATATTTTGAAGTCTCTCGAATTCATAAAAAAAGAAATTCACAATTTTGGTGGAGACAAAAGGAAAGTTACCCTGCTGGGACATTCATTCGGTGGTACGATAGCAAGCATGTTTACTTTTGGCAATGAAGTGAATCCAGATCTAAGGTACCATTGAAAGTAGAATTCACATTTGAAAATTTATTCAAATTTCAGCCTGTTCCAAAGAACTGTCGTTATGTCAGCTGATCAAGCATTTCACCCTTTGGAATTGCAATTAGAGACAACTAAACGTTTTGTTGAATATGCCAATTGTTCAGTTCCTTTGAAATTGACAGGGGAGATAAGTGACAATAAAAAAGACAGAATTGAAATGCAATGTCTTCAAAGGAAGAGTGGAATGGAGTTATTGAGGTGATTTTATAAAGAAAGTGTCAATTACACAAGAATGTAGTTTGATTAAGAATTCAACGATCTTTGGAGGAAGCAGGATACCCAACATATGGAGGAGTTGTTCAGCGAGAACCTCTCTTCTCGGAAGTGAAGTCTTCTGAATATTTCGGTTCTCCGAAGAAAATACCGATGTTAACTGGATGCACATCATTTGAATTTGATCATGTACCAGGTGATGAGAATATGGCTGAAAACTTTGGTTTCGAGAATCCAGATGAATGTGATGCCAAGTACCGAAAAGATGTGAAAGATGGACATTTTGGTGTGATAGTGCCCATTTGAAAAATTAATATCTGCTGAATTATAGATCGTGACAATCACACTGATCGGACTATAGCCGTTTTTGTTTCTACACAACTTCGAGTCAAGAAGCTTCTGAAAAAGGGAATTCCTGTAAGTTTTTGAAAGATCGGAAAAGAAAAATAAATCTGTGACACCACTTTTCAGGTTTACTTGTACCAACTAAGGTATCCAAAACATGTGGTTCACACTGATGATCTTTACTACATAATGGGTGTTCATCCATTTGAAATGGATGAAAATGAGATTTATTTAAGGGAAGTGTATCAGAATATGGTCATGAATTTCGTGAAGAATGGAGAACCTGGAAACGGTTTCGAAATATCTGATCCAAAAAGTTCCAGTTATTTTGAAATAAATTGGAATGAAACTACAGGCTTGAGACCGCACATGAGTACAGATTTCGAGAAGAAAGTAAGAAATTTGTGCTAACAGATTTGAAAGTTTCAGAACTTTTTTTTCTGTTCCAGGTGATGCACTATTGGGGACCCGAGATGACGGAATTCGATAAGCAGATCACTCTGGAAAAACAGCAAAAAACAGCTAGATTCAGATCATCAGCAAACACTCCATACCGCATAGATTCAAATTCCCATTTGTTCTTAACTATTTCTATGTTCTCTCTTGTTTTCCTTTTTGGATTCTATGCTGGAAAATGTTGCTTGAATCAGGACAGGAATCAATATATTCAGTTGTATGGAAATGATTTTGAATCAATTTGAAATTGAATCGAAACTTCTGATCAAAAATGAACTTTTATCAGTTTCTCGATCGTTTTGTAGCTGTCAATCAAGTCCAGACAGTTACGTACGTGCTGACTGAAACTTTGTGACCAGTCCATACCGTTCAAGAACTAAAAAATCGGTTTTGAGAATTCAATAAAAAAAACTCTTTTTTTTTACTTCAGTCTTCATTTATTGAAAACTATATCGTATTCCTCTCAAAAATCACTTCCTTGTATGTGCATTTTTTCTTATCATTAGTCTGAACTACATATTTGGCGACCGATAGACAATCACATTGAAAGTCAATATAGCGAACATGGTACTCAACTCCTTCTACCTTACATATTTTCTCTCTCTTATTTCCTCTTTATTCGCTTATGATCTATCAACATCATACGGAATATTGTCTGGAAGGGAATCTGGAGATTATTACTTATTCAAACATGTTCCATTTGCTAAACCGCCGATTGGGGAGCTGAGATTCCAGAAGCCAGAGACTTCGGAGAAATGGAACGATGTTAGAGACGCCACAGGTGAATTCAATTTCCTCGAGTTTTATTTTGAAAAGTTGGATTTTAGAATACGGCCCAGCGTGTATGTCAAATTCTACTACATCGAAAAGTATTCCAAAATCGATCAGTGAGGACTGTCTCCATTTGAATATTTTCACTTCCAGGAGATGTTTAGTGAGTTTTATAAAAGTTGGTGGCACAAACAAAATCAGTTTCAGAATGCCAAAAACTGTTCCGTTGTTGTCTACATCCACGGAGGTGATATTTTATATGATTCTGCTGTAATGTTCAATGACACTCACATTCTAGACACATTTGTGAAAAATGGTAGGGGAGTTTACTAATTCAAATATTTACCTAAAATTTTCAGATGTGATCCTGGTAATTCCAGCGTTTCGACTCGGAATATTTTCACATTTTACTGTAGAAGACCAAAGTATCTCTCCTACTAATTTAGCGTTTTATGGTAACTTCTGAAGCTCAAGTTTAAAAAAAAAGACTTTCAGACATTCTGAAAGCCTTAGACTACGTGAAGTCTGAAATTCACAATTTCGGAGGAAGTAATCAAAAAGTAACTTTGTTCGGACACTCTTACGGTGGAACCATGGCTACTATGATGACTTTCAGTCCTAGGATAAACCAGGATAAAAGGTAAGAAGCAGTTTTCCTGACAGGTTCATTATTTGTTCGGAATTACAGTCTATTCCAAAAAATAGTAGTCATGTCATCACATCAAAATTTCCAATCGTTACAATATCACATCGAAAGAACACGGGTTTTCGCTACGCACGCAAATTGTGTATTGCCTTCGAAATTGGCTAGAAAGATGACAAAAAATCAACAGGACAGTTATACATTAAAATGTTTACAATCAAAGAGTGGGCACGAATTATTGAGGTTTGATGATATTGAGGTTGAGTCTGTCAACCTGGAATTCACTTTTTAAGAATTCAAAGATCACTAGAAGAATCTGGATACACGACATTCGGAGGTGTCGTTCGAAGGGAGCCGCTGTTCACAGAAGTTCATTCATCGGAATATATGAACACACCAAATCCAATACCAATGCTGACTGGTTGTAACAAACATGAGATGGATTTCCTACCAGGGGATATGCCGATTGCTCATATGTTTGGATATGAGAATCCAGAGGAATGTGAAGAAAAGTATCGATATGATTTGAAGCATGGAAAATACGGTAAGATTTTGATCCAAAAATTTTTTTTAAAGAATTGGAAATTATTCCAGATCGTGAAAACCACACTGATAAAACCATCGCAATGTTGGTCCCTACAAAAATACGGGTCAATAAACTTTTGGAGAAAAATATTCCGGTATTTTTTAAACTTTTTTTTTGGAGTGAGTCGAAAAAATAATTTCAAATTTTCTAGACATATTTCTATCAACTGCGATATCCAAAACATTCTTATCATACTGACGATCTATACTACGCAATGGGTGTACATCCGTTCGAAATGGATGAAAATGAAATTCATTTGAAGGAGGTCTATCAGCAAATGATTATAAATTTTGTGAAGCTTGGGAATCCTGGAAATGGATTTGAATTGACGGACATCAAAACTTCGAGTTATTTTGAAATTAATTGGAACGAAACAACTGGTTTGAGGCCTCATATGAGCACAGGTTTTGAGAAAAAAGTAAGAGAACTTAATCCTTTGAATTCATTTTGAAGTTTTCACAGATGATGGACTACTGGCTGGGAGAAATGGTTGCATTCGATAAAAAGATATCAGAACAGAAAAGGAAAACACCAGACTTTAAATTTTCTGAAATCTATATTAATCCGAATATTGCTGATCAATCATCATCACTTATGTTCTCTGTTATTTTTGCGATTTCTGTTGCTTGTTTAGGGTACTTTTTATATAAGGAATGTTACACCGGTGATCAAAAAAGAGTGTATCTTAGGATAGACGGAAGAGATTATAATACTGTAAAGCAGTCGGAAATGCTGGTCTATTGAATTTCAATAAAGTTTTTTTCTTATATTTGTTCGGCTTTTATTTACAAACACAAGAGACTCTGGCACTTTGAGCGTAATTATCTCAATTCATAAAAAAATATTAATAATCTGTATACTGAAAAATCTTTATAATAATCTTACCAAAATTTTTATAGTTTTCAAATTGTGGCATAATTCAAATATAGCCCCCACCTCAGTATCGCCCCCACCGGGCTCTACTGAGGTGTGGGGGGGGGGGGGCTGTAGTTGAATTGGTTGATTAAAGTATGACCCCCCCACCAGTGCAAAGTGAGTGGGGCTATACTTGCAGAACCTGGTATTCTTAAAATATGACCCCCACCCCT